AAAGAGGGAAGAAAATGAATTGGAATCATCCAGAAAACAGCCTTATTTTTTTTTTTTAAGATTTGTTTATTTGAAAGGGTTACTCAGAGAGAGAAGGAGAGGCAGAGAGAGAGAGAGGTCTTCCATCTGCTGGTTCACTCCCTAGATGGCCACAATGGCCGTAGCTGCGCCGATCTGAAGCCAGGAGCCAGGAGCTTCTTCCAGGTCTCCCATGTGGGTGCAGGGGCTCAAGGACTTGGGTCATCTTCCACTGCTTTCCCAGGCCATAGCAGAGAGCTGGATTGGAAGTGAAGCAGCTGAGATTTGAACTGGTACCCATGTGGGATGTTTTACCCACTGAGCCACAGCGCCGGGCCCCCCAAAATAGCCTTTTTTAAAAAAAACATTGAGAACAAAAGAGATAGATAGAGAGCTCCCATTCATTAGTTCATTCACAAATGCCGAATGCCTGGGCTGGAGCTCAGTCCAGGTCTCCCAGGTGAGGGCCAGAGTCCTCATCCCTGCCTCCCGGGGTCAGCACTGGCAGGAAGCTGGAGTCAGGGAGAGCTGGACTCAAACGAGGCACTATGAGGGGAGACACAGGAGCTTTAACTACTAGAAAAGGCCCCAGAAAAATTCCTTTAAGAGTAAACAGCTGTGGCGTAGCCGTTAAAGCCACCTCCTGCAGGCCGGCGCCGCGACTCACTAGGCTAATCCTCCGCCTAGCGGCGCCGGCACACCGGGTTCTAGTCCCGGTTGGGGCGCCGGATTCTGTCCCGGTTGCCCCTCTTCCAGGCCAGCTCTCTGCTGTGGCCAGGGAGTGCAGTGGAGGATGGCCCAGGTGCTTGGGCCCTGCACCCCATGGGAGACCAGGAAAAGCACCTGGCTCCTGGCTCCTGCCATCGGATCAGCGCGGTGCACCGGCTGCAGCGTGCCGGCCGCGGCGGCCATTGGAGGGTGAACCAACGGCAAAAGGAAGACCTTTCTCTCTGTTTCTCTCTCTCACTGTCCACTCTGCCTGTCAAAAAAAAAAAAAAAAAAAAAAAAAGCCACCTCCTGCAGTGCCGGCATCCCATATGGGTGCCAGTTTGAGTCCTGGCTGCTCCACTTCCAATCCAGCTCCCTGCTATGGCCTGGGAAAGCAGTAGAAGATGGCCCAAGTCCTTGGGCCCCTGCACCCATGTGGGAGACCCAGAAGAAGCTTCTGGCTCCTGGCTTCAGATTGGCCCAGTTACGGCCATTGCAGCCATCTGGGGGAGTGAACCAGCAGATGGAAGTCCTCTCTCTCTCTCTCTCTCTCTCTCTGCCTCTCAAATAAAAAATAAACCTTTAAAAAAATAGTGAGCAGAGGGGTATGAGTATCATGGCATAGCAGGTTATGCCAACCATTTTGGGTGCCCTCATCCCGTATCAGAATCGGCTCTGCTTCCACCTTCCTGCTAACGCCCCCAAGAAGCAGTGGACGACGGCCTAAATGCTTGAGTTCTCGTCACCCATGCGGGAGACCCGGATGGAGTTCCCATCTCCTGGCTTCAGCCTGGCCCCGCCCTGGCTGTTGTAGTCATTTAGGGAGTGAACAAGTGGATGGGAGATTTCTCTCCCATCTTGCTTTCAAATAAATGCATCTGTAAATAAATCTTATAAAGGAAAAGAGAAAAGTGAGCAGAGGAAAATGACAGCTGACACTGGGACTTGAGGGGGATGGTTCATCGGTGCTTCTAGTCGGCGTCATTGCTCCATTGTTCGGATGAAGAAATCAAGGCACAGCAAATTCAGCACCGTAAGCAAAACCAGGCCACGCAGCTGGCAAGCAGAGCACCTGGGATTCACACCCAGCCTGGTGCCCGCATCCGAACCCTCAACCACAGCAGACTTTTGCCTCTTGATGTGGAAAAGAAAGGAAAAAGGTTAAAGGTATAGGAGAGATGGGGTGGCCCTCAGCAGGGCTCAGATGGGAAGGCGCCTTGTGGGGCTGGGGCAGGAAGGAAGGGGCCCACCGGGGCTGGAGGAAGAAATACCCTGCTGTCAGGTGGCCTGGGGCAGTGGGAGAGTGCAAAGGCCCAGCCCAGGCCAGTGCCGGGGCCGGGGAGCCCGGGGAGCTGTGTTTAGAGCTTGGGCTTTGGCGCTGAGGGAGGCAGGAGTCACAGGACAGGCAGGATCCGACTTGCATTTAAAAAGGTCCTTGGCAGCCCGTGTGCGTGCGTGCGTGTGTGTGTGTGTGTGTGTGAGTGAGTGTCCGTGTGCAAACTCGCGCGCCATGCCCAGACATTTGCAAGGGCAGGAGCAGAGGACTGCGGGCTGCCACGGTCCTGGTGGGAGATGAGGCTGTATTGAGCTCAAATCCCTGCTGCGCAGGGTGTCCGGCCGCGTGGGCTCCATGGTGAAAAGCTCAGACAGGACCCTTGCCTTCTGGAAGATCTCCCGGGCAGGGTGGGGCTCCGAACCTGGGCTCTGACACTTGGGGCAGGCCGCTTCTCTGGGGCAGGGGGTGGCTGAGCAGGTGGGGTGTTAAGTGGCATCTCCGGCCTCTGCTCACTTACTCACCCCTCCCTGCCCCAAATGCCACATCTCCAGATGATCCCTGGGGGGCAAAATCTCCCACAGCGAGAAGCCTGGTAGAAGCCTGGCCAAGTGGGCCCCAGGGACAGGGCTCTTCCCTCCATAGCCCGAGTGCCAGGAAGCAGAGAACAGCAAACAAACAGCAGCCCAGCGGCTCCTGCACGTCCCTCCCCCCTCGCGGCTCACTTTGTCCCTGCGTCCTCAAGTCTGTGCCTGTGCCGCCAGCCCTGCCCCCTCCCCCCGCCGTGCTGTGGCCATCTGCCTGGGGGGCACCGGCTGGCCACCCCTGCCTTCCCACCAGCCTTTGTGTCTTCCCTCCATTTGCTCTATCATACCAGTCCCTCCTAGAAGTAGAAAACAAAGAAACAAACAAAAAACAAACCCCTGTAAAACCCTAGCCGCGCCCCTGCTCCTGGGGGAGCCCCAGGCTCCCCTGCCCTGTGGGGCTGTGGCACCAGGCAGTCGGCTTCCCTGCTCTGAAAGTGAGCCCTCTGCCACTGCGCGCTTCCCCTTGGCCTTGGTTCTCATGGCCGAAAAGGAACAAAACGAGATATTTCAAACACGGCCCTGCCTCCGTGCTGCAGCCCCTTTGTGTAACGGCCGCGGGCCCCACTGCTAGCTGCGGCCAGATAACTCCAAGGGCGTCTGCGTTCAGGGCCGGCCACACGGGCTATCTGGGGATGCAGCTTGCAGGGCCGGGCCGGGCCGGGCCGCAGGCCAGCGGGCCCGGGGAGCCATGTCGGCAAGGCCTGGCCTGTGCTAGCGAGAAGCTGAGGAAGGGAGCCTGGGCCAGCCCTGCCTCTCCTCTGAGACCAGCCGTTGGTACTGGGACATGGCCACCCCCACCAGTTCTCTCTGTCCCCCGAGAATATTAAGAGACAGGTTTTCAGTCTATTTTTATTAGCTCACAGCTTATTAATATCACCGAGGAGCCTGCGTGTTTAGGCCTGTGCTGGCTTTTCTAATCCGAGCACCATGGTAGGAGCTCTTCCCCCGTTTCATTTAAGCCGGGGAGTCCTCCCTGTGGGCACCGTGGCCGTCTGGGGGCCGTCCTGCGCACTATAGGGTGTTCCCTGGGGAGCAAAGCCGCTCCTGGTTTAAGAACCACTCATTTCAAGGCCCTGCTGCTGGGGTGGCTGGGGCGAGGGGGCGCTTTCTGGGGTTCTCTGTCTGTAACGGGCAGTACTTCAAACCCAGCTCTAGGGGCTGACCTCCCAAGGGAAACAGCACACAGCTGCCCTCGGAGAGCTCTGCTGTGCCTGGTTCCACTCGGCCTTTTCTGCTTTCTTCAGAGGCAGGCGTAGGTCCAGGGCTGGGGGACCTGGAGTCCTCGCTGCTCTCTGGGCTTTGCCAGCTGTGTGACCTTGGGCAGCTCGCTTCACCTCTCTGGGCCCGGTTCCAGGTCTCTGAAAATGAACGCTCCCTGCCTCGGTTCCTGATGAGGCAGCAGCGGCCGCGGTGGGGCTGTCTGAGGGGTTTTCTGTTTGCTGCTCCGCACACATTCCAGCCGTGCAGGCCCGCCCCAGGGCATCCTTTTCAATCCGAGCCTCTCCCAGGATTCCATCTGCCACCGGACCTTTGTCTGTCCCCAGCGGAGTCGCCGTGGTCCAGATAACCCCAGACCTGCCCTGCCCCAATGCCCATCGCATTCCTGACACCTAGCAGGGCAGCCAGAATGAGCCGGCAGCTTCCTGCTCTTTGCCCCAGAAAACATTTCCAGCGAACAAGTGATCGGAGGGAGGGCGGACGGGCGGGGGAGGATGAGGCAGCTGCTTATGCAACCGACGTTAATCCCGGGGTAAAACCCACCACGCCGGCTAGCAGCACAGCATTGCCGCACTGGGCCGTGGAGTCGGTGCCATTAGATCCACCCCCAGCCGCACGCTCCTGCTAGTTCCCCGAGAAGCCGCGGCTACGGGAACAAACAGAATTCCATAAGGGGCGGCGGTGGAGGGCCAGGAAAGGCCGGGCTGATTGGCTCCAGCCCCCGCCTCGTGGCTGCCACCCTCCCCCCCTCCAGCAGCCGGCCCCTCCCTTCCAGTAGGCCCAGGCCTGTTGTCCGGAGCGTAGGACCCTTATCTGGCTGGGCGGCCCTCTGGGGGCCCACCTCGGGGACAACAACAACATCCGGCCCCTTTTTATAAAGCCGGAGCCCTGCCCTGCAGTTGAATGTGTGTGGGTCCTGGCTCCTGGAGCGCAAGGCTCCCAGGCGGGGGCAGGAATTTCTGTGCAGGCGGCGGGCGTGTGTTGTCCGGGGGTGGGGGTGGGGGTGGGGTGGGGGAGGGCCCTCTTGGTCTCGGTGGGGCCGGCGTGTGGGACGGAGCAGCCTTCAGGAGGAAAAGGGAGACGTTTCTGTCCGGAGTTTTACCCCCTGGCTTGCCTCGGCCTCTGCTGTTTATTTAGCTTCTGTGCAAAAAAAAAAAAAAAATCGTGCTCGTTAGGCACCTTGTCCTTGCGGTTGTTTCTTTAAAGTAGAAGGCCAGAAGCAAGCGAGCGTGGACTTTTCCGAGGCTTCTCCCGTGCAGACTGAATTACAAAGGGAGGGCGCAGGCAGGGGAGTCCTAGGGAAGTGGGTGCCGGTTTAAGCAGCTCTGCGCAGCCAGTTAATCTTTTCCTGGGGGGCAGAGAGCGCGGCTGCGTGTGCCCCGGCCATCTGCCTCGGGTGTGTGGGGGAGGGCCGGGCTGGAGCAGGACCCCTCCCGCAGCTCCCGGGATCTGTCTGCCCGCGGGCGCACACGCGGGGCCGCCTGGAGCAGGCAGGGCTGACCTTGTGGGTGTGGGCCTGGCTCCTAGCTGACTCTCACATCTTTCTCTCTCCCCCTGGATTTAAATGGCTTTTCAGCCCGGGAGGCACTGCCTGTGCCCTGGATTCGGAAGGTACCCGCCTCCCCGGGAAGCGAAGGCGAGAGACAGCGGCTGGCTGGCGCTCGCTCCCTCTCTCTCTCTCTCTGCATCTGCCGGCAGAGTTACAGCTGGTATTTTTCCACAGGCCTTTTCTGCGCTCCCAGGGCCTACTTTTCCCAGCCAGGCCCGGAGTCCGAGAGAGGGTTAACAGGCAGGAAGCTGAAGGCATTGCAGGCTCATACGGAAGTCAGATTTTTGTTTAACTGACAGGTTCAGCAGGCCTCGGCCGTGGGGGAGGGGGCGCAGGGAAGGGAAGTCCGTAGGTGGAGGCATGTGGCCTGCTAGGAGCGCGTGGGGCTTTTCTTAGGGTAAGCGCCGCCAGGGCCCCCCTGGCATCCTGGACGGGCCGAGGGGGCGAGGGCTTGGTTTCCCGGCCGGCAGAGGCCGGCCTGGCCTGCTTCGGCTGGAGGCGCCTGGACAGTGACCCCCGCGGTCTCCGCCTCGCGCCTCGCCTGGCAGCAGCCGGCCTCGGGGAAGCCTGGCCGCTCCCGCCTGGCTTCCTGGGGCTCCCCTCCGCCCCCGGAGGCCGCCCCAGGCCCCTTCCTCCCGCTCCCCGGGCTGCTTCCCTCCCCTCGGAAAACCACCCTGCGGGATGGCCCTGGAAGCCGGGCTGGCCTTCCTGCTCACGGAAGGGCCGCTGCTGCGGGGGCAGGTGAGGGCTCGCCCTTGCCCACCCAGAGGCTGTCTTCCCGGGGGGCGTGCGGGCCCCAGGCTCGGCTGGAGCAGGTCAGGCTGGCCGGACCGGCCGGGGGGCGGGAGAAGCGCGCGTGGGGGCCCCCTTTCCAAGCTGTTCTCGCTGCAAAAGGCCTAGCTGAGCCTGTCTTTTTCTATGCACAGGATAGCTCTTGCTCACCCTAGCCTCACAAAGATAATCGCTCAGGAAGTGTTTCAGCCAATCCGGGGCGGCCTTACACTCCGATTTGCCGGGGCAGCCAATCGGGGATGAGCTTTTATGAGGCGGCCAGATCATCAGCCGAAGTGCCAAACCCTTTTTCTGTGAGAACTAGGAGCCTGTCCTCCATGTTTTATAAGTATTGACATTACACAGTGTTAACAATGCATCCACAGAGGTAAGCTCGACTTTTTAACATCTTTTCTCCCCTCCCTCTGAGACACCCGCCTTGGGGCGAGCAGCGTGGTTTCCGTGTGGCTGGCTGCCACTCTGACCCCCAGAGCACTTAGGTTAACTTGCAACTGTTTAGAGAGGTTTTTTTTTTTTTTTTTTTTTGCTTTCTTGGGTCACATGGCTAAGTAGCCATTAGCCATAGCTTCATTCTGCAAACTGGCCAGGGCCTGGGACTTCTCTCCTGCCACCAGGGCCCTGGTGTTTGTGGAGTAGTTTGAAGCTAGAGCCTGGTATAACCAAAAAAGAAGCTCCCCTCCCTCTCCTTTTCCCCCTTCCCCCTCTCTCTCTCTCCCTCTCTGAGCAGTTTCCCTCCCTGCACTATTGTCTTCTCTCGTGTCACATGCGTGCTGGGGGAAGAAAATGGAAGGTAAGGAGTAGGCTGTTTTCCAGGGAGTGCTCCTGGCACACAGCACTGTAGGCAGGTTTGCCTCTCCAGAGGGGAGCTGGCCAGGCTGGGCTGAGGGCTCCCCAGCGTGGCCCCCGGCCTCAGCAGCGCAGGGCTGAGGGGCCAGGGTCTGGCTCCTGGGGCCTAGGTGGGTGGTGCTGTCTGTACATGGGCTTAACTACATTGTGCAGCCTTTCTTCCTGCCTTGGGTTGATACCGGGCTCTTGTGCAAACTAGCCTGCAGCCAGCAGATGTTTCTGAAAGTGTTTTCGAGGCCTTGGAGGAAGTTTTTGGAGTAGGGATGGGGGGTGGGGGTGGGGCGGGATGGGGGTGTAGATCTTGGACAGCATCCTGCAAAAAAAAAAAAAAAAGGCCCAAATCTGTGAGGGCTGTGGATCCCTTAGCTTTTCTACTCGTGCATGGTTTTCAGTGAACTCAATGTGTCTCTTCTCCTTGTTGTCATTTTGCTTTGCCCTGTGCCACATTGTGCCACCCTGGGTCCCTCCTGAGCGATGGGCTGCAGAGGGCAGAAAACCACGTCTGTGGCTTGTGACAGCATTCCAGATTCAGTTGTTGGGTTGTGTTGTTGTGGTGGTGTGTGTGTTTTTAATAATACCATGTAACTGTTTGAAAAAATTTCCTTTTTGATCAAGTCCCAAATCTGCCAGCCTGTTCTCTCTTCTTCCTAACTGTGGAAAAATGAGACGGTTGCTTGAACATTTGTTGGGTAAGTAAACCGGCCATTTCCTCCGTGACCCTGTATAAAGAGTTTTGCGAACATTTGGGGTCTGTTTGTAATGGGGGGGATTCTTGGCTACAGCAGCTGGGGGCTTCATTCCCAGGAACGGAGTATAAGGGCTGTCCAAGAGTCTCTTGGTTGTAGGGGGACTGTTTGAATCCACTGTTTTTGCCGGATAACCTGGACCTAGGCTTGAAGGTGGTACTTCCTGTTTACCCTGGGCCAGGGGAGAAATGTTCAGTCTGGTGTGGCCTTACTCTAGACCTCGAATGGGGTTTGTTTGGATGTTGGGACGCCGGGGAGGTGAACTGCTTGTGAAACAGAATGAAACTGCTGCTTCTTAGAGGCACAGGGGCCTGGAAGCGTTGGCCCAGGAGCTGCTTTTGCTGCGGGTGTGGGGGTGGTGGCGGTGGCGCCGTCAGCTCCTGGCTTGCAGGATACTTATATACCGTGCAAAATCTCATCCACCACCAAACTTGGTTTGCTTCAGGGCCCACCAGCAGCTCTCGGCCCCTTTCCAAGCCCGGCCCACACGGCAGGCCTCTCTCATGATTCATTTCTCACTTTGTACGTGTCCCTGGATTTCTTAATGCTCCAAGTAGAATTTAAAAGTGAACAAAAGTCAGCTCCTCTTTGAGCGTTAGCTTCAGAATTTCCCTGGAAGTTCACTGTCTACATTTCCAGCCAGTCTGGAAATGCTACAGACGGATTCGGCTGCTGTGTTATGCCAACTTTATGAAGTCAGCCATCTCTTTTCTTGTGAATTAATGCCCAGCAGCCCACCTTTTGACACCAGCTGGGAAAAGGCTCCTTTAATAAGGAGACACGTAGCAAATGCTCACTTGAGAACAGGCTGTGTGAGGCAGGCCAGCTTCCCAGAGTCAAGCGTGAAAGATGTTAGCTCCTTGACGCTGAACTGTGTCCTTACCCACAGGTCGGACACTTCGCCGTTTTCTTTGTTATCTCCTTGCTGTAAATGGAGATGACATAGTGAGGCTCTCGTGGCCTCCCTGGAAGGAGTATCTGACCGCCAGACTCCTGGTCTGGTGCCCTCCACGTTGGCATGATGCTGTGTGCTGGGCTGGGAGGAGACTTCAGGGCAAGGCATTTGTCCTCTAAACGCTCACACTAAAATGGCTCCCACAGGCCTGGAAAGCCTGGAGCTGTTGGCAGAAGTGCAGCCCCAGCAAGTTCCCGGCCCTGGACCAGGCTGGCCGCTTTGGCTGTGGCCTGTTGGCCACCAGCACGGGTGGGTCTGGAGAAAGTGAATTCCTTTCCAGGTGGCATTGTTTTCCAGTCCCTAAAGGGGGAACAAGATAAATGTCTGCATTGCAGCAGGACTAGGTAGGGGCTGCGGTGCCGGCTCCCCGGGCAGCCCAATGGGGTTCCTCTCTCTAGCTTTTGAACCAATAGATTTGGAGGCAAGGTTAAAGATTGACAACTGCAGTGGCAGGACTCAGAGCGGGCCTTCTGGAAATTTCTGCCGTCTTTGTCCCTTGTAGGAAAAGCAGCAGCGTCTCCTGCGTTCCATTCCTGGGCCTTGTCCTCCCCTCCCCCTCCTCAGCAAGGTAGAATGTTCTGTGCCACATTTGTAAATTGCAGAGGGAGGAACAGAGCGGAGGGCTGTTTTCCTTTTTCCTTCTGCCTCCTGGGTCCCCAAAGAGGATGCACAGCTGCAGGGAACAAACAGGACACACTGGGGCTTTTGATTCCTCCCCTTCCTCAGCTCCTCCCCCCCACCCCCAGACCCTCCAGGATGGATTCACTTTCTGCTTTGGGAAATTAAGTGCTGTTCACATGGGGGAGGGGGAGGGGGAGGAACTGCTTTTATTAGCTCCAGAAAATGGTCAGTGTTCAGTCTGTAACTAGGAATTAATTATATATAATCACTCAGTAAACTTTCTACAGTTTTTCTAATTGCCCAAGATGAACATAGTTAGCCTGTTGGAGCCGAGTCCGGTTACTTTTATAATTAACAGCTCAAAGATTTGAGTCAGAGAAGGAAACAGTGAGGCCTCTTGCATTGTAAATTAGGGATGAAAACAACAGCTTCCCCCGTTGTCTTTCTTGTTACCCTTTTCCCTTTTAAGCAAAACAGCCCCCTTTTCCTTCCCTGGGAGGGCCGTGGTGGACGGGTCCTGAGTGGGGGCTGGGGGCAGGGGAGGGAGGGAGTGACTCTGTAGAAAGTGGGGGGACAGGAACCCAGAACCCCTGGAGGTGAAGCTAGGCTTGGCAGGGTGCAGCCACGTCAGACGTGCGATCCCTTTGTTCTGTGTGCCTGCCTCCTACGTTTGTCAGCTTGCAGCCCTAGGTCTCCCTCTGCCCCTGGTTGACCCTGAAAGGAAAGGTACATTCCAGGGGGCCTTGGCGCCCCGCAGCCTGGAGTGCAGCCTGGAGTCAACCCGGGAATGTGTTCTGAAGCCCCAGGCTGGCTGTTAAAATGCAAAAACAAGCAAGGATTCACCTTGGCTTCAGGTTGCCCTTCCCCCACCCCACTCTCCTTACAGACAAACAAGCAGGCGGTGGCCATGCCAGCTCTGCAGCCAGCCCGCTGCCACGCTGGCCTCTCCCTGCTCGATCACCTACCCACCGGCCGGCCCCGAGCCAGCGGCCCGTCCTCGCCCTGCCTGGGCCTCGGGCACGGTGCCCTCCTTTCTCCCTTGGAGCTAGAGAGCAGTCACCTGGAAATAGCCCACTCCCAGCCCCAGGGGAGTTGGGAGGCCAGTCCTGAGACCCGCAGCAGTAAATGACCAGACCCACTCTGAGGCCATTAGCTCGGCCTCTGCAGACTCACATTGTGAACTCCCAGGGCTCTGCTGAGGGGAGACAGAAAGCTAGTTTGTGAGTACCCCGGGCCTTGGAGAAGGGGGCCTTGCGCCTGGGTGTCTCCTGCAGACCCCGATGTCTTTCCTTGATGACTTCGGAGGGGGCTATGGGCCGGCCCTTCGCAGCCTCACACACAGTCCTTTCATTCTACCTTGGCCTCAGATCCAGGTGAGCCCTTTAGCTGGGTTTTTCTGAAGCCTGCTGTCCTTGGAACAGGTCGATTTTTACCTGCTGGCCCCTGTTGCGTTCGCATGCAGGCTGGGTTCCAATCCACTGGGCAGGGGGAAAGGGCTTCCTCCCAGCCTGCTCCCTGGGACTGGTTTTGTGCCTGCAGACACCTGTCTGTCTGCAGCTTTATGCCACGGGGCCGCAGGATTCCTAACCTCCCACCCACCTAATTCGAGGGCCAGGGGGCCTCCGCACTGCACCTCGTGTTGCCTGCTCAGGATCTAAGAGAGAAGGCTTTTCTTTAGGAACCTGTGACTTCACAAACTCTCCCTGTCATTGCAGGGTTTTTTTTTTTTCCTTTTTTTTTTTTTTTCAAAGCTTGCAAACGTTGGGTTGTTGGTGTCCTTTGGTTGAGCTTTTTCCTAGTTCTGATCTTGAGGAAGGTGGCTTTGAGACTGGCAGGGCTGCTCACACAGAAGCCACAGCTACTGAACAAACTGCTACCATTTTAGCTTCAATACAGGAGTGAGGCAGTGTTGCCAGACGCCATTTTAAGAATCCTGCATAAATAGCTTAGCTACCGATGACTGCCTGTTTTAGGTGAGTGCCTATATAAAGCCGCCTGCTAACCATCCCCTCCCTCCCTCCCTCCCCCCCCCATTTAAAAAATTAATTGCAGATCTCGGAAAGCATGTTTGTCTTTATTCTGATGTTCACTGTTTTCTGATGTAGAAGAGGAAGATGTTAGCTTTGGGGATTAAATATTTCTTACAGCCTGGACCCTTTGGTATTTTCAATGAAAGTACAAACCAGGAAAATGGGAAAAGCCCTTCCGACTGATGCATGACTCCTGAATTGCTGTGTGGTGGTCCTCATCTCTAGAGCCAGTCTCTGCATGCTGGGGATAGAGTCTTAGGTGGGTTAGATATTCTTGGTGAGAAGTCAGATGCTAGGGACACTTGGGGAACAGAAAGATCTGAGCATTGTGCATCCAGGCAGTTTCTGGCAAAACTGGATGCTTTCCTTTTCTCTCTCTTGCAAGTGATGAGAGGTTGAGAAGCCTGGGAGTTTTCGGAGCAGCCCGAGTCCTCAGAATTAATAATCAGGAGGCTGAAAGCATCTTTAGAGGTGCAGTGGTACACTGGCAACTTTTAATTGCTCTTCTCAGCGCATGCAGGGGAAGGGGCGAGCCTAGGCATTCTTGCTCAGACCTTGGGCGAGAAATCCTTTTATTCTTTAGGGGCTGAAGGGGGTGGAGTGGTTTGGGTTGTGTTTGCAGGTGCTGTTTCTTCCTTTATTGGCCTGAAATGTATCAGTTTGTGAAATCCACAGGCAAGTGACTTGGGTTAATTTTAAGAGGTGATGGTGGTGGATACAATGTGTACAACTAGTTGATGGTATATTTTCCTGTAGGGGAGAGAGCTGTTGATCAGGTTTCAACTACATTTTTTTCCTGGGAGGCAGGGGTGGTGGGGGTGGGGGCAGCTTCCCTCTCCCAAAGACCTTAAAAAAAAAAAAAAAGAAAAAGTAATGTCAGTGTGAACCAAGGGCTTGTTGTTCATTGGTTTTGATTTCAATGGTCTGGGTTGTAGGGGGCTGGCAGGTATGGAAGGAGGAAGCTGTACAGTTTTTGAGACTTTAATGTGTTAATGGCAGAAGTTCAAAGTATTCTTCTTCAGATGCAGCTGCCTTTTCTCTTAAAGAAATTGTGATTTGACTGTTTTTTCCCCTAAATGACTGAACAGTTGTTCACCTAAATTGACCAAGATCACTGGATCATTGAGACAGGTACAAATCTTTTCTCCCCATCACTTTTGATGTAATATTCATAGTTTTTTTTTTCCCCTCCCCTAATAACATATGAGTGCTTAACACTAAACCAAAAAGCGGAAGTCCCTTTAGATGTGGCTATTGAAAATGACTAATTTTGCATTCTGGTCTTTGCTTTTATAAATGAAATTTCCCCTTCTAATGCTGAGACACTGTAATTTCCTTTAGTCAAATTCGAGTGTGTGTGTGTGTGTGTGTGTGGTGTGTGCGTGCGTGCGTGTGTGCAGGGTGCATGTATGTGTTTGCATGTGCACGCAGGGGTTGTTTTTGAGAGGATGACTTGCTGCTCTGTGAAAAAGAAAAAAAAAAGATGGTTTTCTTACATCCTTGAGCTTGGGAGCCTGGGCTAAAGCTGGTGGTGCTATTGCTAAAGTTAGGTGGCTATGTTGCCCACTTGTTATACTTGGGCAGATAAAACAGCCGAACTTTTTTTCTCTCGGACTCTCTTCTGCTGCAGAATTGATTATCGTAAACTCAGCAGCAAATAGTCATGGAGTAACTAGTTTGCATTTTCTTGGTCTCTCAGCAGCATTCCTGCCTGAAGTACAAGCCAAATAATTGTTCTCTCCAAAGCAGCCCTCCTGGGTGATCAATACACCTCTGAATGTTTTCGTGGCTGTAGAAACCCTTTTGGGCTCTGCATAATTGTTGCTTTCACCACTGTACGTTTCAGCTGCATCAGAGATTAGTGTTTTCTTCATCACTCAAAATATGGGATTGGCTTCAAGAAGTTTAGAATTTCACATACTTCATGCTAAGGAGGGAAGCAGAATTCTGGTTGCTAGAAAGATCAAGGTAGCTATTTGTTCTTTTGAAGTTAACCATCTACCCATCTCCCGCTGCCTGTAAGGGGCTTTTGGGTTAAAATTTATTGCTAATTACCTCAAGCTTGAACCCACCCCAGCTTTCAGCTGGACAGCCTGTGTGTGTTCCAGGCACACTGTTTCTGGGTTGAGAGTGCTGGAGCAGAGTCTTAGTGCTAAGATCACCGTTGTATTATTGCTCGTTTGTGCTGTGTTGGGACTGAGCTGGCTGCCCTCCTCCCGGAAAAGCGTGTGTGACAACACATCAGTTGTTTTCTCGGGTGCCGTGTGTCGCAGGCGTTCTGGCGAGATGCTGTGGAAGTGAAGTTGTGAGGGAGCCCGGTCTCGAATGCTCAGTGTGTTAATATTCTGATGTAAGGCCACAGGACTGTTCTTTCTCCCCTGTTGGGACTGCTTAGTCGGAGGCCTCCATGTTCCTGTAATTTACTTGTGAGCTGTAATTTCTGCCGCTCTCCTCCCCACCAACACGGCGTTCTCCTAATCCATCTCTGTCGCACGGAACACACAGCACGTTCCCTCCAGCTTCCTCCTTGCCCCGGCTTTGAGTCTGCCTGCCGGACGGAAAATTCCGGCCACTCGGCTGGTGCTGCACCCATGTCTTCTGGCTGAGCCACAGTCCGATGGCGTCTCACCTAGATCGCTTGCTCAGGTTCCCACCGGGTCAGGGTCAGCCTGCGTGTTGGGAGAGTTCTGGTCCCTGGAGCTGTTCATACCTCTGACAGCAGAGCCGCATCTTGTCCTTGGGGTTGGCTTGTGGGGTGTGTGTGTGTTGGGGGGGAGCGGGTGCGAGGAGAGGTGAAGGGACTGCTTCAGCAGGGAGGCAGAGAAAGTTCTGGAGGCAGACCTTGCCAGCACAGGGCCTGCCTTCCCCCCACTCTAGGTCTGTGTCTTCTGCTTTTGTGGCGAGGGCTAATTAGTCACAGCTCAGAAGTAAGCAGGCAGGCCTGCTCTGCAGAGAGCAGCCAGGGGGTGGGCGTGCGGAGACCCCAGGCCTGACTCCTGGGGTGGATGCTGCTTGTCTGAATGTGTTGAGACCAGCTCTCTTGCTTCTAGCAGGGACATATTTTTCTGCTTTGTAATTTATCTTTTTTTCCTGTCCCTGCCTCATCAGGAAACCGTAAGATTTAGCGGGGAGGTCTGGGGAGCCCTCACCTGGCGGGATTCAGAGGTGGGAACCCTGGGCACCCTGGGAACGCCTGCCCTTGAACCCGGTGTTAGCCACGAGGAGCTTGCTCGACCGAGGCCGGGGCCTCCCTGGCCCACCGGGGCGGATTGTGATGGCGTGCCTGCGGAACAGTGCTCCTTGGAGCTCCCCTCCCCCAGGAGCCTGACCACTGGAACGAAACAAAGAACAACCTTGTGTGTGTGTGTGTGTGTGTGCGCGTGTGTGTGTGTAAGGAAAACTCCTTTAGGAGTCTTACTACTTTGCTGAAATCAGGGGTGGACTCCCTCCCTCTCCCCCATCAGGGTGGGGGATTGTCTTAAAGGTGGGGTTGTCCGCAGGGACTTGTGACTAGCCGTCCCCACGGGCTGTCCCCAGCTCATCTAAACATGCACGTAATTTGCTCTGTTTCAGCTTGGCTGAAGAGGAAATAAAAACAGAACAGGAGGTGGTAGAGGGCATGGACATCTCTACTCGCTCCAAAGGTAAGACTCCTGTATCACCCGATGCAGGGCCAAGGAGGAAGCTGCATTCTCTCTGTGCTGTTACTGAGCAGGGCAGGGCGGCTCTCCCAGGCCCTCTGATGGACGGCCATGGTTTGCCTTCTCTCCCCGCCGCCGCTGCCGTCTGTGTAGGTGTGTGGACTTGTCCGGAGTTGTCCTGACCGCCCGTGTTAGCTGGTGCTGCCTCTCTGCAGGGTGACCCTTGGCAGGAGGCAGAGTATACAGAAAGCAGGTTCTGGAAGCCACGCGAGCCCCAGCCGCTGCGGGCTCTCTGATCCCTGGACGCTCAGAAGTGGGGTGAAGCTGGCCCGCTTCGTGGGAAGCTGGTGGGGCCTTGTGGACCCCTCGAGTGTCCGCCTTTGGGACCAAACCGCAGCCCATGAGGGCCGAGACGGATTGTGCATTTTAACCTGAGTGGTCTGTAGCTGGTCCCTGAGTGGCTTCTGATCAAGGGCTGGGTTCTTTGCGTCTGGGCCGCGTGTGATTCTGTGAGGTCCCCCGAAGGAGGCAGCTGCTTGCTTGCCCCCTTTTCCAGAGGAGCGGCGGAGCCTGGCATTGCGTGTTTGGGTGATGGGAATCTTGCAACGTCGGATCAAGGTGTTTTCATTTTTTCACGAGTCACCGAGCACCTGCTCCAAGCTTGCAGCCCTGAGCCGCGGTGGCTTCTGGGGAAAGGGGGGGGTGCGGCAGGGAGAGGGGACAGCTGGAGGGGTGGTGAGGCTCTTGCAGGACACTTGGCCTGGCTGGAGAGATTCACAAAAGGAGAATCTCTAAAGGCCGAAACAAAAATGCGCTTTGAAGGTTTGTGTAAGGCAGCGTGGCATTTGGGCCGAAGCTGGGGGGTCCGTGCCCGAGAAGGGGGGCTGGCTGCTCTTGGACAGGGCAGGATTTAGAGAGGAGGGAGGGCATGTTGCCTTGCTGGGTGGTTTGTGCTGGGGCTCCTGGGAGAGTGGGCTGGGTCTTCATCGGGCGGAGAAAGCCTCTTCGCTGAGGTGGATGAGCAGGTGCCACTGGCCAGCTGCCTTGTGGCCCGGGGGACCCAGGGTGGAGCGGGTCGGGCCCTGGAGAGGAGCCCGGTTGTGGGTGGGTCTTTCTGCTCTCCTGTGGAGGCCTGGACACTTGTCTGTCCCTCTGCTCATGGAATGGGTATTGGATTTGGATCCAGGCTTTTCTCATGACAGTAGCCCCCTCTGGCTGGATTCCTCCGATCCCTTGGTGAGGTGGGGGATGGTAGGGGATGCCGCTCCCATTTTGTTGATGAGATCCAGGCTTCTCCTGGGTGGGAAGCGGCCGTGGGGGCTGCTCCGAGGCTGAGTCCGCCTGGACCCGCCCGTGGTGTCCCGTGGTCGCCTACCAGGGCAGGTGTGAGTGTGGAGATGTCTCATCTTCCTTCCCCCGCACACCCCGCCGGGCTGGCCTTTCCCGCTGTCTGGGGCGTGGCCACCCTGGAGTGACCATTGTTCCTTTTCTGCATCCGCTTGACCCCTGTCCTCCTCCTGCCAGCATCCAGGACAAAAGAAGCCCCCTTCCCCTCCCTCCGACGCGCTCCCAGCTCCCGTAGGCCCCGTCTGCTGTGGCTGTGACCTGCCTGCCTGGGCCAGCCGCTTCGCCTCTGCTCCCCTGTGGCCTCCCGGTCACCTCGGGCCCTGTCTCTCTGTCCACTCAAGTGACGTAGTCCTCCTGGGCCCTCCTGGAGCCTCGGGCCCTTTGCCCTGTTGTGTCCGAGCCACCCTGCAGCCTGCCTGCCTGTCTCGCTGCTCAGATTCATCTCGGGATTCGTCTGAGGCAGTCATTCCATCGCGCTCTGTCAGACTTCAAAAATACACCGAATCCCAAATGTGCAGAGGAGTCATGAAGAGAGTGCTGAGACTTTTTAAATTTAAAAATATTGGTACCGGCGTTGTGGCTCAGCAGGCTAAGTGGCGCCTGTGAGGCCAGCATCCCATATTAGTGCCGGTTCCAGTCCCGGCTGCTGCACTTCCTGTCCAGCTCCTTGCTGGTGACCTGGGAAAAACAGGATGGCCCAAGTGCTCGGGCTTTATCCTGGCCCAGCCCTGGCTATCGCAGCCATCTGGGGAGTGAACCAGTAGATAGAATCTCTCTCTCTCTCTCTAACTCTGCATTTCAAATAAATAAATCTTTTTTAAAAAAGAATTATAGCTTTTTTTATTTACTTGAGAGAATATGCTGGCTCACTCCCCAGATGCCCGTCCAGATCTCCCACATGGGTGGCAGGAGCTCAGCTACTTGGGCCATCACCACCGCCTCCCAGGATCCGCTGGAGCCGAACTTGAACCCAGGTACCTGATGTGAGATGTGGGCTTCCCCTGTCGCTGCTGTCACGCATTCGTGTGGCTTATTTGTCTCAGTCACAGTTGGCAGATTACCAGCTTGTATTCCAGTTTTTAAAATCTCCCACAAGGTTCCTCGCCTGTTCCCAGTTCACCACGTCTCTCTCGGGTGTCAGGTCTCTGGGTGGGGCCGGTTTCTCCCACTTCGTTTTTGGGGAGGCCGACAGTTGGGAGGCGTACTGGTCAGGTGGCTCGTGGGGTGTTCCGTCAGCTTGATGGGTTCCTCGCAGTTAGCCTTCGGGAGGGAGAGCCCAGAGGCCCGGTGCCATTTCGTCTCGTCATATCAGGGGGTGGCCGTGGCCACTCTGCCCCGTGCTCTGCTTCTTGGCGGGTGGGCACAGGTATGACCCACACTCGGGGTGAGGGCCGCGTCCGCAGGTTACCAGGACCTCTTGTTTCCATGTGGGACGTTTGTCCTTTCATCCTTGGCTTGTTTCTTCAGTAGGGACCGGGGAAACAACCATCTTAGGTTTTGGGATTCAGTCCAGCGTCACGTGTTGTCCGGCCGTTCGACAGCCCGTCGTGAGGCGTGTCTGGATTTCTTGGGTATTTCTTGTTTTCTGGTACTGCAAGGTGCTCTAGAATCATCCTGTGTGTGTTCTGTCAGCCTAGAAACAGCCATTTCCCCAAGGACCCTGGTGCCTTTTATTAGAGAATGGTTTTAGATACCACATTTGTTTTTGTTTCAAAGATTTATTTTATTTATTTGAAAGGCAGAGTTAGAGAGAGTGAAAGAAAGATCTTCCATTCTCTGGTTCACTCCCCAAATGGTCACAGTGGCCAGGGCTGGGCCAGGCTAGACCAAAGCCAGGAGCCAGGAGCTTCATCCAGGTCTCCCACATGGATGCAGGGTCGGAAGCACTTGGGCCATCTTCTATTGCTTTCCCAGGTGCATTAGCAGAGAGCTGGATCAGAAGTGGAGCAGTCGGGACTTGAACTGGTGCCCATTTGGGATGCCGACGCTGCAGGTGGCGACTTTACGTGCTACGCCACAGCACCAGTCCTGGACACCAAAATTTGGTTGCTTGGGTGTGCTCTGTGGTCCTGGAGTATTTTGACTTCCAGGCTGAGCTGGCGGAGCCTGGAGACAGTGTGGGTTCAGCAGCGTCTCCCTTAGGTGTCTATATCCGCTAAGTGTGTGCGCATACACTTGACTCTAACATTAATCCATTCTTGCATGGATCGCTCTGCCTTGTCCCCTGACTTAACTGTAACCTCCCTCCCCAACAGTGGGACAGCTGGCTGCCACCACTCACCAGGCGGGCATCCGGCTGGATGAACTTGAACCTGTGTAGACAGACCACGGCCCAGACCAGGATCACTGAACATTGCAGCATCTAGAACGTTCCCAGTGACACTGAGTTCGTCCACAGCCCTTGCCCTGGCCTTGTGCTTTCGTAGTTTGTCCTGCCAGAATACAAGCTCCTTGCCCGCAGACGAGCCCACAGTGCTTGCCCTTCCCTTCCAACCGGGAGCTGGGATGGCATGGAGGCTTAAAAGATGGGCTACCAGAGCCAGACCCCCATTTCTGGCTTGCCCCTTCCTAACTCCGTTATCGTTTGTGCCTCCGTTTCATTCCCTGACGGGGGATGACGATAATGATAGAGGGTTGGGGTTGAGATGAAATTGCTCACACTGGCAGAGTGCTCCGAATGGTGTTGGGCCAGGTGAGCCCCGGGAAGCCTCCGTCTTGATTAGAAGTGACTTGGAGGGACCGGTAGGTTGACAGGTGCACAGAGCCAGCTCCTCGCTGTTCTGCTGCACGCCCCTCTGCCCCAGTAAATGTGGAAACCAGGCCCAGACAGAGCCCCTGCCTGGTGGGTACAGTGAATCGGGTAGGGTTGCCCAGCAGGCAGGCTCGGGGTCAGATGGAAACGCCTCTTGATCTGGGATTCTGACGCTAGGACCGTAGTGTGCGTGTTTGCTCAGTGTGGCTTCGATGGGGGAGTCCATGGAGGAAGGGGTCCCCTAGCTTGGAGGGAGACCTTGCTCTCTTCCCCAGGAGGCTGGCTTTGTGTGGGGCGGAGCTGCCATCTCTCAGGGATCTCTCAGGGATGGCTGCTGTTTCTGTGGAACCCTGGTGATGGAGCCACTGCGTCAGCCGAAGAAATTGCGTGTTCGAGGGCCTGGCTCGCTGGGGTTGTGAAGGTGGACCGGGATGAAGGTTCCCTGTCTCTCTGGGTCGTGATGATCTCAGCTCAGGCCCCAGTGTGATGAGCGGGGCTCAGCGAGTGCGCATCGATCCCTGTTCCCTGTGGTTGGGAGGTTCAGTGCTCAGTCCTCAAAGGGCACCCTTCCCGCAGGGCTCTTTGGCTGTGAGTGGCGGAAGCCAGCTCTGGTGGCTTGGGCAGGAAGGAGAAGGTCTGGAGGGGTCAGCTGGCTTTAGACATCGCTGGGAAGGTCCAGGCCGCCCTAGGGCGTGGGGCAGGAATGGCTGGGCCTGGACTTGGCGCCATCAACACTGCCCCCACCCATGAAGACATAGTCCCTCCAGAGGGGGTGAGTGACCTCTGCGGCTCCGGCCTTGTCACTCCCCACCTGTAGGTAAAGGGGCCCTGAGCCGTCCTCCGGGTGGGGAACTTAGAAGCTCTGACAATACCCGGCGCAGGATTCGTTCATCCTCGTTTAGTC